GATAATAATTGAATATTAATTAATTTATTTTTCTATTGTTTTTTGACCAAGAAAAGGTAAATTCATTCTATCAAGAGATATGTAAATTTTGTTCGTTCAATTTTAATTTTAATTTTAGTTTTGCTTGGCTTGCATGTAAATATTCTTAAGGAAGAGAAATAAACTTTTTTTTTCTTTTATAAGTGCAGACATCTTTTGTTTGATATAAATTTCTAGAAAATTATTTAAATAGCAAAATAACACCTTTATTGAAGACACACGAGATAACCAAGTGTGAACAAAACTTAAGGAAGTTGTACCTTTTATCATGTATATCGGGATTCAGACAATAACTCTGAAATATATTACAGTGACCTTTATTGAAGACACACGAGATAACCAAGTATGAACAAAAGGAAGTTGTACCTTTTAGTATGTATATCGGGATTAAGACAATAACTCTGAAATATATTACAGTGACCTTTATTTAAGACACACGAGATAACCAAGTGTGAACAAAACTTAAGCAAGTTGTACCTTTCAGCATGTATATCGGGATTCAGACAATAACTCTGATATATATTACAGTGACCTTTATTGAAGACACACGAGATAACCAAGTATGAACAAAAGGAAGTTGTACCTTTCAGCATGTATATCGGGATTCAGACAATAACTCTGAAATATATTACAGTGACCTTTATTGAAGACATACGAGATAACCAAGTGTGAACAAAACTTAAGGAAGTTGTACCTTTCAGCATGTATATCGGTATTCAGACAATAACTCTGTAAGTTATTACAGTGACCTTTATTGAAGACACACGAGATAACCAAGTGTGAACAAAACTTAAGGAAGTTGTACCTTTTATCATGTACTAGCGGGTGTACCCGGCTCCGCCCGGGTTTTACTCGAGGGAATGTTTGTAGTCTAGTATGTTGATATAATAAATCTATCTGAATATTAGGAAAGGGCAGGTAATTTTTTTGTAGGGTGATGCTCTGAAAAAGAACGCTATATCACTTTATCACTAAACAAATTGGCGAGTCAAAAATAAGCAACCTAAACAATCCATTAGCTTTGCAAGATAAGAAAAGAAATAGAGAAATGCATGCAAAATTCTCAACACAAATCAAAATTACCGATCATTTCAAAATTTTACAACTAATTTCTAATAATACATATGCAGATTTATTCTTCGTGTATATAGTGTATCATTTTTCTTATACAATTGATCCTGTAGAAGGGCCACGCTGTGCCCGAAAGCTTGATGTCCTAATAAATTAATGAAGAAACTTATCTCCTGAGTATTTTGTCCTTACCACGCATGTAATTGGGAAGATTTTACCGTTTAGAAGACAAATCAAAATCTTTAATCCTCAGAAGTAATGTATATTAGGTAGGATGAGGTTTATTTTGTTTCTATTACATTACATCATCTTTAAATCTCAAAGCAGAGCAAAACTGGCATACCCGAGACATTTGGCCTATATCGACAGATGAATCAGCTTTATAATCAATATGGGCATTATACAATGCTATAAAATGAAGAGAAAAAGTTTTCTTTATTAAAATATATAGGTTACAAGCTTTCGGGCACCAAGCCCTTCTACAGGTACCTAATATACTGCAAACCTGAAAACGGCTTATGAGTCCAAAGCTGAATACGCTGAACAGGAACTTGCATAGTTTGTGTAGCTGCGACGCGGGCTTCAGAATACCTAAGACGGCGAAGCGCACGACGCGTCTCACTTTGAAGTGGTGTCTCAATAGCTCTAGCATTCCTATATCTCCTGGAAGCAGCCGTATTCCTACAAAGTAAACGTCGGCTGTGGCGAGGCATATTCTGAAAAAAAATTAGATTGAGATTAATAACAATATTGAGATTAATAACTTCAAGACCAGCAATTTCTAAACAAAGCATAAAAATTTCCTGTCTTTTTGAGGTAAAAATCAAAATTTTTAATTTTTTTATTCAAAATAACCTTCAGATATGTTAAAAAGATTTTTAAAAACTAAAATCATAATATTATTACCAAAAAATTAATGTACAAAACCAGTTATCATTAAAAAGCTTCAAAAATAGACCAACCGCTGGATACGGCAATGAAAAAGCATGCTTTTTTGAGGTAAAAAATCGAAATAATTTTTTAAAATACAAAATACAACCCCTATATGTTAAAAAAACTATAAATAATCTAAATATAAAATATTTAATCAAATAAATTAAAATATCTTTGAAAAAATTTTGAAAAAGGACTTCAAAAAGACAAAAAAATGAATCCGTAAAAGAAATCCCTTGCTTATTTAAAAATATAAATAACCTATTTTTTAGATACAACCCTTATATGTAGAAAATATAATAAATAAACTGTATTTAAAAGATCAAAGCAATAATTAAAAAATTCCATAAGAAAATTTAAAAAAGGACCTCAAAATGACCTATAATTGAACACAATGAAATTGCTTGCTCTTTTTTGCGATTAATAATAAAAAAAAACAAATATTTTATAAAACACAACACCTATATGTTATAAATACCACAAATAATTTGTATTTGAAAGATCTAAATAATTAAATAAAAATTTCTTAAGAAATATTTGAGAAGGGCCTCATAATGACAATCACATAAACATATCAATAAAATATCTTGCATTTTAGTGAAAAAAATAGAAATAACCCCAAAATTTGTTTACTAAACAACCCATATATTGGGAAAACACCATAAATAATCTACTTTTAAAATATCTAAGCAATTAATTAAAATTTTGTTAAGGTCCTCAAAAAAGACATAAAATTGAGCACATTAATGAAATTTAAAGCTTTTTAGTGAAAAAAAATATAAATAACCCAAATTATTTTTACAAAACAACCCATATAAGTGGAAAACACCATAAATAATCTGTTATTAAAATATCTAAACAATTAATTAAAAATGTTGTTAAGGTCCTCAAAAAAGACATAAAATTGAGCACATTAATGAAATTTCAATATTTTTTTGTAAAAAATAATATAAATAACCTTAGTCTTATAAAAATACTAACCACGTAAGTTAGAAATAGCATATATAATCTGTATATAAAATAAAAAAGAAATAAATTAAAATTAGCCTAAAAATTTATCTAAAATATTGATCTCATCAAGGAAGGCTTCAACTTTTTTTGGTATAAAATATGAAAACTATAAAATAAAAGTATCTTACCATGTATAAAAGTTATTAAAATATATATAAAAAAGATTAAAACTAATTTTTCAAGAAGCGCAAAAGTGTAAACACTTTTGAAAAGCCTAAAAATTTATCTAAAAAATATCGATCTCATCAAGTAAGGCTTCAACTTTTTTTGGTATAAAATATGAAAACTATAAAATAAAAGTATCTTACCATGTATAAAAGTTATTAAAATATATATAAAAAAGATTAAAACTAATTTTCCAAGAAGCGCAAAAGTGTAAACACTTTAACTCTGTTGAATTTTTTTGTATTTTATCGATAACAGCAAAGTTATGTATGTTAAAGTTAGGAAAAATATTTTGATGTTAAGCAAAACCTGCTCCATCTCGTTTTACATAAATGTTTAAAATTTGGTCGAAATTGATGCATTGTAACGAAAGTTTTTAGTGATGTCCACTTATGAAATATCCATTTTATTAATATAGATATATACTAGCGGATGTACCCGGCTTCGCCCAGGTTTTTCTCGAGGGAATGTTTGTAGTCTAGTAATAAGAAAATATACTACACCTAAAAACTATCAGAGAAAAGAGAAACCACGGAAGGTGAACAGAAAAATGCTTACAATGGATGTCATGTTTACGATATCAAGTTAAATAAAAACAAAGATAAAATTTGCATATGTTGGTCACTATAAATTTGTATATTTGTTAGGCGAAATTAGAAACATGATAAAACAATTGGGTATTTAAAAACAAATGTATAAATAAAAGTTGAAGTATAATAAACAATGTTAAAGTTTAGTTTTAATTATTAATCAAGATTGTGTGTGAATATGTGAGAAAGATGTAATATCGTTGTTGTTTTCTTGGCCGACTGTTTTACATATGGTGTTATCTTAAAATTGCTTGTTTTGAATAATTTTTAGATTGAGATTATTAGCTATTATATAAAAAAAATTAACTCTGTTGAAATTTAATTTTGTATTTATATATAAATAAAATTAACTCTGTTGATTTTTTTTGTATTTAATCGATAACAGCGAAGTTACGCATGTTAATGTTAGGAAATATATTTTGATGTTAAGCAAAACCTGCTCCATCTCGTTTTACATAAATGTTGAAAATTTGGTTGAAATTGATGCATTGTGACGAAAGTTTTTAGTGATGTCCACTTATGAAATTTCCATTTTATTAATATAGATATCGGGATTCAGACAATAACTCTGAAATATATTACAGTGACCTTTATTGAAGACACACGAGATAACCAAGTATGAACAAAAGGAAGTTGTACCTTTCAGCATGTATATCGGGATTCAGACAATAACTCTGAAATATATTACAGTGACCTTTTTTGAAGACATACGAGATAGCCAAGTGTGAACAAAACTTACGGAATTTGTACCTTTTAGTATATATATATCGGGATTGAGACAATAACTCTGAAATATATTACAGTGACCTTTATTTAAGACACACGAGATAACCAAGTGTGAACAAAACTTAAGAAAGTTGTACTTTTTAGCATGTATATCAGGATTCAGACAATAACTCTGAAAGATATTACAGTGGCTTTTATTGAAGACATACGAGATAACAAAGTGTGAACAAAGACACTTTTATTTTTCCGTTTGTCATTACTCTTCACAATTCATCCTATCATACTTCATCCTTAAAGTTAGAAATAATCGTTATTTCTCTTTAAAAAATGGATTTCGATTTTTGTTTAAAAAGAAACATTCGCGGTATAATTGCAAATTTCGTTTTACAATCATCAGCCGTGTTATATTGTATTTTAAATGTATTATAAGTTAATTTAAATATTATTTACGAACGGAAAAATACGTCCAGGGTAGCCTAGTGGACATGGCACCTGCCCGGTAAGCAGAAGGTTGTGGGTTCGATTCCCGCCCCTGGAAACTTTTATTTTTCCGTTTGTCATTACTCTTCACAATTCATCCTATCATACTTCATCCTTAAAGTTAGAAATAATCGTTATTTCTCGTTAAAAAATGGATTTCGATTTTTGTTTAAAAAGAAACATTCGCGGTATAATTGCAAATTTCGTTTTACAATCATCAGCCGTGTTATATTGTATTTTAAATGTATTATAAGTTACTTTAAATATTATTTACGAACGGAAAAATACGTCCAGGGTAGCCTAGTGGACATGGCACCTGCCCGGTAAGCAGAAGGTTGTGGGTTCGATTCCCGCCCCTGGACACTTTTATTTTTCCGTTTGTCATTACTCTTCACAATTCATCCTATCATACTTCATCCTTAAAGTTAGAAATAATCGTTATTTCTCTTTAAAAAATGGATTTCGATTTTTGTTTAAAAAGAAACATTCGCGGTATAATTGCAAATTTCGTTTTAAAAATTAAGGAAGTTTCACCTTTTACCATGTATATCGGGATTCATCAATAACTCTGAAATATATTACAGTGACCTTTATTTAAGACACACGAGATAACCAAGTGTGAACAAAACTTGAGGAAATTGTACCTTTCAGCATGTATATCGGGATTCAGACAATAACTCTGAAATATATTACAGTGACCTTTATTGAAGACACACGAGATAACCAAGTATGAACAAAAGGAAGTTGTACCTTTCAGCATGTATATCGGGATTCAGACAATAACTCTGAAATATATTACAGTGACCTTTTTTGAAGACATACGAGATAGCCAAGTGTGAACAAAACTTAAGGAATTTGTACCTTTTAGCATGTATATTGGGATTCAGACAATAACTCTGAAAGATATTACAGTAACCTTTATTGAAGACACACGAGATAACCAAGTGTGAACAAAACTTAAGGAAGTTGTACCTTTTAGCATGTATATCGGGATTCAGATAATAACTCTGAAAGATATTACAGTGACCTATATTGAAGACACACGAGATAACTAAGTGTGTACAAAATTGTCCTTGTCTCTTTAAAAAAAAAAAAAAAAACAGACGACAGGCGCATCAAAGACCTATTTAAGTTTTGTCCATGAGTGTATATATAAATAACCTATAAAATTGGATGTTAAAAAATCGATAAATTCAGCCTATTAAAATGTCTATTGGCGATTTATTCAGGTCATTTTATATATGAAACAAAAAATGGAAAAATCTAACAATGGTAGCCTATTAGAAACAAAAGTGGTGGAATTAACTGTGGTAGAAGTAAATCTTAAGAACGCTGTAAATGAGCAGAATTTTTATTAAGCTTATAACTTTAGATTTTGATATTCAAAGTTACAAATGTCTTCTTTTTCTTGTTTGCGTGCAACAATGAAGAGAGATTGAAACTCTAAATCTTATTAGGTTACTTGATGGTTACCTTGGCTTGCAACGACATCATCTATAATTCCTTCTGATATCCACGTTGATAAGAAAGACGCAATATTGGAATATCAAGTAATTTTAATCGATTCACTCTTGCTATTTGAAGAGAATATCTTCAATTACGACAATGTGGGGAATATAATCAATAATTACAAATTCATTATGATCGATTTTTTAAAAGAAATCGGACACTTATTTTGTCGAATTCCTTTCAAATATATTATATTCCTTGCTTATTATGATGAATTTTGAGTCGATTTACAAATCTATTTACTTTAATAAAAATCAAGAATGCATCCAGTATTAAAAGAAACTTAGCTCTATGTCGGCATTATTGATTTTATTAAAAGATGATTCAGAGAAAGAACGTTTATATTTTAAATCAAGAGTTATATGATGATGATCATGAGTACAAGAAACTTGACCTTGTGTCTGCATTATTGATTTTATTTAAATATAAATCAGCGGAGAAAACGTTTATATTATAAGTCAAGAATCTTCTTATTCGTTCTTATCTCTCATCACCCAGTCATGATAAATCAAGAGATATGTGATTAATATAACGCCGGAGTACAAGAACTTTGCCCTGTTGATACATTATTGATTCTATTAAAATATAAATCATGGAAGAAAACGTTTATTATTATAAATCAAGAGTCTTCCTTATTCTTTCTTATCTCTCATCACCCAATCATGATGAATCAAGATATATAAAATGAATATATCATGCCGGAATAGAAGAAACTTAGCCCTGGATGCAATATTGGTTTTAATTAAATTATAATTTATGGGAAGAACATTTATTTTAAATCTTAATTTATAACATAAAAACTTTGAATATAAAATATCCGTGGTTGACGTCTTGTATTCTTGCCAACAAATTATTCTTCGGAAATTTCGTTATAAATATTAACAATCCCAACAAGGAACTCATCAAAATTCTTCAATGGTAAGTGTGTTTTAATTCTATTCCCTCTATTTTAAATCGAATTTAAGATTTGTCCAAATGTGAAAGTTATCTTTTTACCAGAGGAATATCCATCTCAAACTTAAACATTTCTCTGCTAACGTAATAAGACTCCAACTAATTCAATCTGATAGCTTCAGGGATTCTAAGAGGATGTCAAATACTTCTTTGAATCTTAATTCTGAAATAGTTCAATTTAAACTAATTCAAAAATATAACCGATATTTTCAAATATTAGGCATCTCTCCTTACTAAAAAAATGTATTAAAACATTATAACCTTATCCGAACAATGACGCAAGCCATATATATATATGTTATATTTAAATATTATTTAATTTAAAATTATATTTAATAGATTCAAATACTCTGCTAAATCGACCGCCAGAGGTCACACTTCCCCTATAAAAACTCATTGTTGTTAGTTTCCCGATGGCCGGCTTAAACTTTTTGTACAATATGTAAATAAGTTTTTGTTTTCCTTGGTTCTACTCGCCTTAAGCCAGGCCTTACTTTTATCAAACTATGTTTTTTTATATATCCCATAAGTTCAATTAAAGCTATTTCTAACCTTCATTATTTTTATTATTATAGTTTCAAGATTTTAACCACGACTGCATTGACATAGCATAATCCTCAAGAAAATCAAAATCAAACAGAAATAATTTTATTAATATAATATATATATAATGATGTAAAATGATGATGGCATCAGCAAATTTTAGCTGCACCATCAGGAGATGTCTTAATTTATCTACCTGATTCCAGTAAAATTTCTCTTTTGCACTATGTTTTCCCATTGTAGTATTGGATAAAATATGTGTCTATCTATATGAATTCTGAAGGTTAAAAAAAGCGAAAAAATATATATAAAGAATTTTTCGCATGTTTTATTCTTTATCACAACTTAAAATCATATTTGTCTTTTAAAATTTCCCTTGCCTTCAAAACTATCTGCGTTTCTTTTCATACATCTCGAGAATAAGGTATTTTACGTTCTAGGATTAAAGGTATTGTTGTATAAATAAAAGATAATTCGCTTAAGGAAGAATTTCTTTTCGTCACGACAATAAAAGCTTTCGGACGTAATAGACCTTCAACAAGTATAATAACGATACAGTTATATTTACAATGTCGTAGTTATACCGGTCGAAGAGTTGTTACGGCCGAAAGCTTGTATTGTCGAAAAACGAAACTCTTTCCTTAGTGAATTTTACCGAAGGGATTATAATATTAACAAAGATATTGTTGGAGGGATGAGTGGGAAGATAAAATGCGAGAATGGAATGCATGGTTAATTTGACCCTACGATACCATTAAAAGATCGACCATAGAACGGAAGCTCTGAAAGGTTAAGAATTCTGCCAGCCACCAACCTGTGGATTCGCGATACATAGATAAGACCAGAAATAAACAGTTTAGATTGATTCTGATAAAGAACGATGCCCTCTTACAAAATGCAGTTGCATAATTATGTCATCATACAAATATACCATACGATGAATAGTCTATGTAGGTAGATATTTATGTAAATAAGTACTTTATATAATGTTTGTATGTGATAGATATAGATAGAAAAACATGTATAGGTTTGCGTGTTATGAAAGGATTGTTCGTTTAACTGCAACTGGTGAGAGGACAGGAATACTGTCAACCTGTGGACTATAGAAATAGATAAATAGCTTTGAGTTGCATATGTGTAGTGGTCAAATTGATATAGCGATAAAATGGTGAGGAATCATCCTAGAAACCTACCTGTACCATCTTCTCACTGACGTGCTGTTTGCTGTGGGGATGTACGTCTTTGAGCAGGGGCTTGGTATGGTTGGACATGGCACCGGATCCTTTGTTCTCGGAGAAGACCAGAGACGGCGACTTTCGTCCTCCAGGAAGATACCTCGTAAGATCCGACTCGGAAGATGCAACTCCCTGAGGCTTGCTAAGGAAACTGTTGGAAGTAGCTGCCACAAACCGGAGCTTTCAGGAAAAACAGCTGATAGCATGGATGGTCGAGCGTGAAGCCATGCTTAAATAAACGATCCTTCTTGCTCAGAAGGATACCAATTCAAAAGTAAAAAAGATAAAAATAGATGCTGATATGAAGTAAAAAAGGGGAAAGCGGGTGTATGTGTGCTCGCGAAGGGACGAAGAGGCCGATCACCAAGCTGGTGCTGTTACCTTGACCAAAGTCTATTGTTCTGGCCCTGCGTCTGGAGGGATGGGAAGGTCTGGCGAAGAGAGTCGCAGCTGCACACACACTGTCAGCCCCACACCTGCCAGCTACAGTGATACTCTACACCGATGGACAAAAGTTGAGGAACAAAACCATTCGCTCATATTAATAAAGAGAGACGTTCAACTCAAAAGTAAACGACAGCCAACTTACCTCAGTACAAGGTATTTTAAACAGCGCCATATAGAGCCGAATGGTTTCTCGGTTCCTATATAACTTTTTTAAATCAATTAGTAGTGAAAAAACCTTTATCGTTTACTACTCCACTACATGATGGTGATTGATCATTGTGAGGATATCGTTGCAAGCCGGCGGCAATGAGAATCTGACTGGTGTCTTGATAGAAGCTTTGTGAGTATGGTTCGCTCAGATAAAGAGGAT